TCCTGTAAACACACCCTTTGCTCACACTAGTACCTTTAAAGATCTGAGTAACTCCACTCAATTTGAAGTTTGCTGGATCAGGACTATAACATTGTTATCTTTTCCCTAATCACTCAACAAAGGATTATTTAATTCATTTATTTACTTGGGTTTATATTACAGTAATTCTGAACAATTAAATATACAATGTAAAGTTTTGCTTTGGTGAATAGTCAAATTTAAAATTTTGCTTTTTGGGACTATTTTTGCTACCCAAGTCCAGTCTCACAAAGATGAAAAATGTTGCTAACACAGTTAAGTAGAAATTTGTATTTAAAATTCAAATGAATATTCATGGATGTTTCAGCAGATGTTTATGCATTAGAAAGGAATGCACACATGTCCTGGGTTAGCTGAATTAAATTAATTTTGTAAGTGCATCAACACAAAGCTGTGCATAAAACCAATCATTTCAGAAAGGATTTTTTCATATTCTTATACTGTCACTGTCCATCTATAGATCTATCTAATCTGTTTTATATTATGCCCATCACCGTGATATTAGAGTTCCTGTTCCTTTCAGTTGAGAAAAAGTAATTTTGTGTACACATAATTAAACCTCAAGGTTTGTTTTGTTCTTAAACAAACAAACAAAAAACTCACAACCCCTCACTCTAATCATCTTATTAGTCCTCTGGCTCAACGGTATACATGGCATCCTTTTTGAAATAAAAACTGAAGGCCAGATCCTCTGTAAATATCACTTGGCTTCACTGATTTGAATAAGGCAATTTACAACAAATGAGAATCTGGTCTAGAATGTTTAAGTTACAGTGCTAGCTGGATGACAATCAGCAGTCCCTCAGCAAATGCTTTTTTTTCATCAGCTTCTTTCAGGATGTGTTAAGAAGGAACATTTTGTAAGATCTTCTCTTGGGGAGAAAAAAATTGCTTTCCAAGTAGCAAGCTCTAGTTTAGGATATGCTGAATGGAAAACATGGACAACCCACTAGCAGTTAAATAATAAAAGTGTTGAAAGTCAGCAATTTTCTTTTACTGAGTTTCATTTTAGTTCACTGGAAATACATTTCCAGAGCCATCTCCCTGTGAGTTTAGAGAAAATGACAACTTATCAGTTTTGTAGGACAACTAACTATAGTTCTCTAGTGATCATTCATTGCCGCGGCTCGTGAATGCCAATAAAGAACACACATTCTCTTGCAGTACGCATTAGGCTTGCAGCACAAGAACTGTAGAATCCTTGTGGTAGTGTTAGTACATCCTCACCTGATGATGAACAGTGATAAAAACCTAATATGCTGTGACTTTCCTGGGGCTTTGGGTTTGAACAAGAACAAGTTGAAACACAAAAAAATGACAAAGAAGGAAAGAATAATTTAAGAACAGAAAGATGATTTTTCCTCTTCCATAATACTTACATATAGAATTAGAGTGGGAAAAAATACATCTAATACTCCAGATATACTAGAAAGTCTGCCCAATGTGAAGGAACTATATATATTTCTTTTAAGTAATCAGAAATGCATTATGTGCTAAATCTCATTCATGTGATATTCTTTTTCACAATCAGGAAGTCAATTACTTCTGTTTGAAACCTGATAGAATAGTTACGTCATGAGTGGTACATCACATAAAAATAAATTGTTGGTTTTTCTAGCTTCAGACTGAAAAATTGAGGCATCCAAAATGAGAGACCACTTCTGAAGATTTTGGCCATGTTATATAAGTAAAATGATTCTATGTAGTATTACAGTATTATTATGGTTATGATTGTATTTATCATTCAATGTATTATAATCAGAACAACCCATAAGTTTGTCAAGGATAACATAATGAGTCTGGAACAGAGAATCTAGGTCCAGTTATGTCTACACTTTGTGGTAGCAGAATTGTTTTGAAAGGCAAATCTAGATCTGAAGGAAAGGAATAGCACCTATGTCCATCAGTCCATTATCTACTAGATTATGCTGTCTGCCATGAATGAAGTTAGCAGACGGCAAGGATGAACGACATTTATATTTTTAAATCTATCCTACTAGCCCAACAATGATTTGATCAAGTTTTAGTAATATAATGCTAACATTAAAACATGAGTGAGCAGATTGAGTTAAAGACCCTGGGGGAGGCTAGTCTTCAACTTGACCTGCTCGCTCATGTGAAAACTATAGACTGCCTTTTCTTCATTAGGACTGTACCTCAGGTTAGTTAACTTGAGTTAAGAACACCCTCTTCTCCCCACCAGTGAAGTCAAGGCCAGAGACAAATTTACCATTTCTTGGGCTAGGGCAGCGGTGTCTGGCTTAAGAGTTCTGTGAAGAGACATGCTTCTGTGCTGCTTTCCTCCTACCTTGTATCATAAGATACAAAACTTATGCATTTTGCAAATGAACAAATTACCCTGTCTTCTGTCCTGCAATTTCTCATTCAAACAGAAACCATCTTACAAAGACCCAAATATCAGCTGCTGCTTGGCCAAAGTGGCAAAAATATACTTTCCTCAAGAGAGAAAATATTTTATGGTGATGTTCATGAAAATATATAATAGGGCACAAGACTATAACAACTCTTTCTGTTGATACTCTGCTGTTTAAAAACCAAACATTGAGTTTTATTACAATACGATATATGATTTGACAATGATGTTGGTAGCCAAGAACAGAGGTATTTTATTTCAGGAGCCTCACACCATGCATAAAAGTGATGCTTAATTGCACCAATTGTACTGCAACTATTAGTTAACAAGTGCAACAAAAGAGCCATTATAGATTTTATATATAATTGTTAAAGGGATTCATAATAGAGTCATATTATATAAGTGTGCACTTATTATGCACAGCACCATACCATTTTGAGCTGTAGGAACATATGCTAGTTCAAAGCTATAACAGCAAAACTCTTATGAGAATGCAAATATCTTTAGAAAAAATTAACTTAGCTAGCAGTTAGCTATTAGTAAAGTAAATAGTTTTAGAATGATTACTAACACAACATGATGTATATGACCTAACTGGGAATTTACATGGTTTATTTCCACTTTAAATAAACCACTTGAGTTTCATTTTATTCAGGTCTATATGTTTTTTTTCCTTTTTGCTACAGTGATCCAATACAGATCAGGAATAATTCTGACAAAGTAATTAAACACGTGCGTAAGGCAGAAATGTCCCAAAAGGATGAACACATCAATACATGGTAAGAATTTTCATGTTCAAAGTCATTATGTTGCTACAACTCAATCGTGTATGGCAGGGGTCGGCAACGTTCGGCACGCGGATCGCCAGGGTAAGCACCCTAGCGGGCCGGGCCAGTTTATTTACCTGCTGACGTGGCAGGTTCGGCTGATCTCGGCCCCCACTCGCTGTGGTTCGCCGTCCCGGGCCAATGGGGGCGGCAGTAAGCCGCGGCTAGCACTTCCCTCGGCCCGCACCGCTTCCCGCCGCCCCCACTTGGCCCGGGACGGCGAACCACAGCGAGGGGGGGGCCGCGGTCAGCCGAACCTGCCACGTCAGCAGGTAAATAAACTGGCCTGGCCCACTAGGGAGCTTACCCTGGCGAGCCGCGTGCCGAACATTGCCGACCCCTGCACTAGAAAATAGTCTGACCATGTCATGCATTTCAAATATAATGTGATATATACACTGTAGTGTGTAAATAATACCGTCAAGAATAACATAACAAACCTCAGGTAAGACAAGGTGGGTGAGGTAATATCTGTTGGTGAGAGAGACAAGCTTTGGAGCTACACAGAGCACTTCTTCAGGTCTGGGAAAGGTACTCAGAGCAACACAGTTAAACACAAAATGAAACAGATAAGATTGCATGAGTAGTTAGCACATATTCTAAGGGACCATTCAAGGTGAAATGTGCTTTTAACACCCTTGTAGTGATAGGACAAAAAGAGGGGTTAGTGGGTTACAAATTGCAGTAATAACTCATAAATCCAGTGACTTTATTAAAAGCATGATTTTTAGTGTCTAGCAAAGTTATGAATTTAAGCTCCCAGGCTTGTCTTTTGAAAGTGTTGTGCAGGTTTCCTTTTAGTATGAGGACTTAATTGGTCAGCTTGAGAGTGATCGCTGTGCGAAAAGTGTTCACCCACAGGTGATAGTGTGTTTTTTCTCTTATCATTTTCCTGTGTGAGTTCATTCGAGAGCTTAATGATTGCCTGGTTTCAACCACGTAGTTGTTGTTGGAGCATTTAGTGCACTGGATGAGGTACACCACATGCTGTGACAGGCATGTGTAGGACCCATGGGTTTTGAAAGGTGTGTTGGGGGTATGTGTTGATCATTGTATTAGTGGCCAAATGTCTGCAGGTTTTGCATCTGTTGTTCTAGCAGGGTCTGGTGGTGCTTTGAGTTGGTGTGTCCTGGTTTTTGGAGACCTTGCTTGATGATGAGCTTGGAGAGTTTGGGTTGTTGCTTGAAGGCCAGAAGAGGGGGTTCAGGAAATATTTCTTTCAGGAAGAGGTCCCCATCGAGTATGAGTTGTAGTTGTTTGATACCCCGTATGATTTCAAGTGTGGGATGGTAGGTGACGGGGGGGGGGGGTTTCTGTATTGTTCTAAAATCTTTCTGTATGCAATTCTGTATTGAAGCAGGTTCTTTCAGGGTATTTGGGTAGCCCGTTCCATGACACAATCTTCTTCTCTGGTGGCGTGTCCTTTGTTGAAGGTGGATTTGAGTATGTTGAGATGCATATCTTGGAGCATATCCTCTGGTATCTGAGTGCCTAGATCAGGGGTCGGCAACGTTTGGCACGCGGCTCGCCAGGGTAAGCACCCTAGCGGGCCGGGCCAGTTTATTTACCTGCTGACGTGGCAGGTTCAGCCGATCGCAGCCCCCACTCACCACGGTTCGCTGTCCCGGGCCAATGGGGGCGGTGGGAAGCGGCGCGTGCCGAGGGATGTGCTGGCTGCGGCTTTCCACCTCCCCCATTGGCCCGGGACGGCGAACTGCGGCCAGTGGGGGCTGCAATCGGCCGAAACTGCCGCGTCAGCAGGTAAATAAACTGGCCTGGCCCACTAGGGTGCTTACCCTGGCGAGCCGCG